GCCTTCCGAACCCAGACCCAACGGATGCAGCTCACAGTCCGGAGATAATAACCACCGGATATCATTGCTTCCAGAGCTATAAAGTCACTCCCCTTCAGATTGATTACATCGGGACTTCCTGCCACAGCACCGCGTCTCTTCAGCGGTATTCCTTCCCCTAAGCAACCTCGGTCACTCGATATTGACCAGTAAAGATGCTGGACCCAGTCACCCGGCTGATACTCTCGACATTCGAATCCCCTGTCAGTGTCCAAGTACTACTGCGATCCAGATACACAGATGCAGACCCTGTCGTGTTCGCCTGGTTCAGCGCGCCCTGCTCAACTTGACCCGATCAGGTACAGTTTGATCGCGCTGATGTCATCCACGTAGATGTCGCCGGTGACATCAATCCCCGAGAGATATACATTGGCAGTGCCGCCATTCTCTCCCGATGTACCCCAATCACTGTCAGCAGTGATATTGGCTAGAATCCCGGATCTGATGGAGATTGCGACATCGGTCAGGTACACATGGGCCTCGATGTTAGCCACAAAGAGCAAGGCATAGGTGCCATTGGTCTCGGATACGGTGCCACCGTTCACATAGGCATAGGCGGTTTCCGTTGTGCTGCTCGATACCGTACTCACAATCTGAAACACACCATTGTTCTGCGTTCCGGAGGAAACATCACAGTCGGTCAAGGTAAACGAGTTTGCACCATCAATGCATGCTACAGGGGCAATGGCTGATGTGCCAGTAAGGGAACGAACGGTAATATTTCCTGTGGAGTATATCAATGCTGAGAGGGCACCGTAGGTGTACGCAGCCGAATTTTCTACCATGATGAGGCCGCCGCCTTGGTCAGTGGCGATGGCACTGCCATGGCCATCATAAGTATAAATCTCAAGGTTCTCGCCGTAGATGGCTCCACCAGCGGTGTAGATGCCATGTGAACCATCTCCTGCTGCGTGAATATACACATTGGAGAGGTAGGCAGTGGTGCCGTCTTCATAGGTGTGTAGTCCATTAGCACTCAAGCCGTTGGTGGTGATGTTGCTGTCGGTGATATATACTGTGCCATTCGTCTCCAGACCGACTGCGGCATTCAGATCCGTGAAGGAGCTGTCATCACTGCTGGTCGTGTTGCCGGTCTTAATCAGTGTTACATCAGACAAAATAGCAACCCCTGTCTCTTTGACAATTATCACCGCTTCATCGGTTCCGGTAGCGGTCAGAGTCGATTCAGCAAACGTCTTGGTGCTTTCACTGACATAGTAGGCAGCGGTGGTAGGCAGAGAACTGGTAGATGAGGTAGCCGCTACTTTCAATGCTGCCAGAAGATGAAGGGTTCCTACTATAAGGATACCCCACGGCTGAGGAGGCATGATAAGGGTAAAAGAAGACAGGATGCAGATTCTGGTCTTTGGGATTTGAATGACTGACTGCTCCACAGACTGCCAGTCATGTTCTTGAGACCTGCGATGGCGGCTTATATGGGCATTCTGCATGCAATATTCCCATTTTTTGGCAAATGCAAAATGAAGTCGGGACGTGGTCCATTCATGTGCTTCGGGTTTCTCCCCCAGGTAATCGTGGAATTACTTGCACTATCCACGTGTGCTGCATCAAATGAAGGACCCTGTGGAAGTGCCCACTTTGAAGATGTGGGGGAATAATGCGGAGAAGTGGATGTGGTTAATAAACTTCCCTGCTTGCTTAACGTTGGCTCAAGGACCCCAGCACCTGCTCACATGGCTCCCTAACTTGCAGTAGATCTTGCTAAGCTATCGGTATCTGGGGTAGGAATCCTTGCAAATGGTTCTACTTGACCAATATATCCTTCGGCCCCACGGCAGCCTTTTGCGAATGAAATTCAGAATGTTCTTTTCCCCCTGCAAGAGATTTAATGAAGACGTCTTTACTCGCCCCAAAACGGGAGTCATTCTGGGTTATGCTTGTCATATAAGCTTTGAGTGGGCATAACTCATGTGCAAGATTTAGGTCATGTTGATTTTCCACTACTCTTATTGTCCTGATCAATGTCGGCTGCCGAGCAATTAAGCTTGATTAAAGTGATTGGGATGTGGAGCCGACAATGGAGACGCGGCCCTGTCTGTACACATCCTCGAGACTCTTTTCACAAACCTGATCAACAATAACCAATCATGGTGCTCGTAATGAAGGGATGACGCGGCAGCCCTCTTTGTAAGCCGTGCGAGAAGTGCTTGCAAGGCTGCGGTTTGAACTTGAAACTATTGGCAGCAGCTGTCTGGCAGTTCCTATAATAATCTTGGTACGCCCCCTCGTGGGATAGTCGATCAAGTGCATCACTCTCCATCCCAATTAGTCATTTGCACTCGAAATGCTATCTCTTCTTCTCCTTGCTGCTCTCGGCACGGCCACGGTTACCGTCCACGACTCCAGCGACTTTGCTGTTCTCACCGCCGATGCAGCTGATGATGCATTGACGGCGAATTGGGACTACACCCCGACCACCTATCAAGTCAATGCTATCGTCGGGGCTTATGAATACTTTGATAAAACTGGTACTATCCAACATGAAAAGCTTGCAGTCTCTGCCAATGACACCAGTGTCCTCGTCATCAGCGAAGGATCGGTCGTGAATGTCTCCTACTCCACCATTGTTAAGCACGGGTACTCCAGTGATCTCTACCAGTCCAGTTTCTTTGGCCTGAACGCAGCTGTTAATGTGGCCAACGAGTCTGTGGCAAATTTTGACCACGTTAACGTGACAGTGCATAACGGGGCAGCCAATGTCTATTCATATGGAAACAATACCTATGTCTCCATCTCAGACTCGAGCCTGTACAGCTCCGGTCCAGTCTCGCATGGCCTGTATGCAGCAGGCTACGGTACCATTGTCGGCCGAAATCTAGAGCACTACTCCGGGGCTTATCGATCTTCGTCGTTTGCCGGGGACAGTCCCCAAGGCTACGTGTATGTGTACGACTCCCTCGCACATACGGCGGGTATTGGGAGCGCCATCATCTACGGTCAGGGCACCGTCTATGCCGAGAACATCGTGGGGTATGCTGAGCAGGCTCCCGTTGCCTTCTTAGATACAGCCCAGATAGACATCTACGATTCCGATCTTACTGCAGGCCTGCTGGCGGGAGCAGTGGTCTTCTCATCTGGGACACGGGGGTCTGGCTCGGAGATCAACTTCACCAACTCTCGTCTGACGGTTCTCCCAGAGGCGGCGGCAGCGCTTTGGTTCGGTAATGTTATCGCCAGCTCTCATTTGACAAGTACGTCCATCAACACCACGTCCGGCATCTTAGTCGTCGCCAATTACTCTCAGGTTACACAGGATTTTAGCTATTTCGCGGATTCTACAGCCGCCGCTGAAGCAACTGTCACAATATCCGAATCCGAACTGGAGGGAGACCTTGTGGCGTACAATAGCAGCAGTATCAGCTGGTCGCTGACGGAATACTCCTCGTGGACAGGTACAGCATACTCGGGCTATGGCAGTTCGACCTTTGCTGTCTCACTGGATGTGACATCTACATGGACGTTGACCAATGACACAGTGCTCAACAATTTCACTGACTCGGACCGGACGTTGAGCAATGTGTACAGTGCTGGATACACCTTGTATTATGACTCGAGCGCAGCCGCAAACCGATGGTTAAACGGGACGACCAAGCAGTTGATTGGTGGAGGGTCTATAACGCCGGCAACAGCTGCGCAGCTGGCGGGTTAAGTTTTACTTGAACCGATAATTCCGAGCATCATGAAGGGCATGTTCATGTGGGAAGTTATTGCATGCAGTGGCCGTGATAATGGCTTAGATACCCAATTCCGATATGGTTGTATAAAGTCCGCTACACCAGAGTGGGAGCTTCAATTTAGTAGCTGATACACTAGACTGCGGGAGGTGAAGAAATAGTATATCATATCATACTGATGAATGGCATGCTGTACGGTTAAGTAAGCAATTTGCGGGATGGATTGGAATTTGCCTCACCAATCAACCCAACCCCCCTTTTTCTTTTCCCCTCGTCAGCTCATGATCGCGAACCCCACGCGACATTGAGCCCAACCATGGCTTCTTCCATCATTATCGGACTCCCAAGAATTTATGCCAACCGGGGTCGTAAGTGTGTGCCTCCGACCAATGACTTCCTGCTTGGCACCTGGCATGTCACACACTCCAGTCTGCCGCTCTGGAAGGGCAAGTGTAATGTCAACATCACTTATCAGTTGCTTCCGCCGGATTCCTCCGGTATGGTCAGGATTGACGACCTAGTCCGATATCAGGTCATCGGGTCAGAGAAGATCAAGTCAGTTCATGGCGTGGACACCCCGACTCCGGGGAACCAAGGGGCCTGGGACTGGCGCGGCAGGGGTTGGCTGATGATCGCGAGCTCGCACTGGGAATGCCTCGGCTTTGGCCAGACTCTGGAAGAAGACAATCAATGGCTGGTCACCTACTTTGCCAAAACTATCTTCACCCCAGCCGGCATTGACATCTACTCTCGCGATAAGAAAGGGCTTTCCTCCACCATGACCGACGAAATTCTTCGAAGCCTCAAAAGTCTTGGTGTTGAGGAGATCACCGAGCTCGCCAGTATTATCTTCTCAATTCCGCAGATGTAGATTGGAAACGAATTGGGGGGAGGTGGGGGGGCATGGTGAACAATGTCACCCTACAAGTGGACTTGTTTGGGCTGTCAACGATTGTACTCCGTCCACGGTCACATTGGTGGGGTTCAGGCTTGCAAATTGCATCAACAGAACCGCGACCAGGGTTGAGAGAGCGATCTTTAAGGTCAACAGTAGAGTGGATGGAGAAGTGGCCTGTTCCTTGCAGCTGAGTGGGAAAGAGTCGGACTCGGAAAGGATCATCGGACTCACGGGCGGGGTTTCAACCTCCACCGGAGCAAATCCCAAAAAGAATGCAGATCCTGCAGCAAAGCCAGCCAGGATCCTTGAAGAAATATGAGACACGGTTGAGGTGGCACCGTCAGCAATATAGTATCGGGCAGGGGATTTCTCCCCCAATCACCCGATCCACTCAATCCCCTCATCCACATCATGTACATATTCCTAGTCACTTCCTGACCTGCTTGCCCCTGGCGATGCGATACCTTTTCATGTTTGTATACTGCTTCTTGCCTGATATCGACTCTTAGCATCATGTTAGCGCAGGTCCTTCTTGCTTCTGTGGCAATCGCCAATGTTGCGACTGCATCATTACAGATTGTGTGTGCCTGTCCTGCTGTAGTTAGAGACCTCCGAGAACTAACCGGGACAGGTTCCGGGCGCGACATGGACTGCCGCGGGGACAAACCAGCATATTCAAGCTCATGGAGGTGGTAGGTGCTTCATAAATCCAGATGCAAACCCAAAATACCCGTTCGGACATCTCTCATTCTGTTATTTTCAGGCATTATTGAAGTGGACGACACGTACTACTGGGCCGGAGAGAACCACCTAAACGGAAGCGCCTTCCAGTCCATCAACTGTTACTCCAGCACTGTGCGTCATATCCGATTGGGTAACTTGTAGCATGCACACGTGTCTGACGATGCTTTCTAGAACTTGGTCGAGTGGACGTTTGAGGGTGAATTGCTCTCCTTGCAGAGCAGTGGAGACCTGGGCCCCGACCGTGTCGTGGAGCGGCCTAAGATCATCTACAACGATGACACCTCCACGTATGTGATGTGGATGCACATTGACGATAGCTCCTATGGCGAGGCGAAAACGGGGGTAGCCACCTCCTCAAGCGTCTGCGGGCAGTACGATTATCTGTGAGCATTCGGCCCGTTGTCATACCGCAGGAGACAAACTCATATCGGGATCCAGTGGTTCTTTCCAGCCGCTGGGCCATCAGTCGCGCGATATTGGTCTGTACAAAGATGACAACGGAACGGCCTATTTGCTTTCTGAGGATGTAAGCCGAGCACCAGATGTTCCGGTACGCAGAAATAAGCTAACCTCACAGCGTCCGAACGGCTTGCGGATTGACAGATTGACTGACGACTACCTCAATGTAACTTATACTACTCATCTGTTCCCAGAGCATTACGAGGCACCGGCCATCTATAAGCAGGATGGGGTCTATTTCATGTTCGGTTCGCAATTGACTGGTTAGATATTTCGAGATTCCCCCTCTTGAATGCCTCACTGACGATGTTTAGGATGGTGTACGTGGAATCCGGAAACAATAGGATCCTGTGAGACTACTGACATCTCATTTAGCTGCCAATGATAACAAGTACACCAGTTCCACAGACCTCAATGGCACATGGAGTGATTGGAGTGACTTTGCAACGGCGGGGACGGACACCTATGACTCCCAGACCACCTTTGTGATGCAGGTTGGGAAGAGCGTGATGTGAGCATGGCTGGAGAAGTGAGTATACTCTTGTACTGACGACGGCAGGTACATGGGTGACCGCTGGGTCTCATCGAATCTGATGGCTTCGACATACATTTGGCTACCCTTGACATTGAGTGGGACCAACGCGACCTTGGTCAGATTCTCATGCGAAACAAACTATTGATTTATCCCACTAACAGCGACCGACAGGTTGATAGCTCCAACTGGATCCCCTCCGCAGATGGCACCTGGTCGTCCGGGGGCGACGAAACCGACCCCGAAGCTGAAGCATCCACCAGCGTCCTGTCCAACGGAGCGAAGGTTATCTCGTGCAGCGGCTGCTCGGGCGACGAGTCTGTTGGCTGGATTGGAGGGTCCGACAATGGGACTCTTGAGATGCGTAACATCTCCAGTGACGCGTCGACCACAACCACCATTCAGGTGCGGTATGAGAACGGGGATTCTACCCAGCGCTACGCCACCGTTACAGTGAACGGCAAGTCGCAGATTTTGGCATTCCTGCCGTCCGATAATGGAAACACGCCGGCCACGTCGGTGCTGAACGCCCAACTAGAGAGCGGCGATGACAATATCATCACCTTCAGCGCCTATGAGGAGGAATACGGTATGTCTCGTCGCGTAGAAGATGGGCGTAGATGTCGCTAACTAATATTTTCCGAGTAGGTCCTGATATCGATCGGTTGCTTGTGCCCGAGGAGTAAATTACTTCTGGACAGCTTGAGTGATGAAAATGGATACGGAGGGGAGAGGGGTTTCAGATGCAGGACAGCAGACCAGCAGACCAGCAGAACAATTTTTGAAGTACATAAGAAATTGCTGCGCTATGGATCTTATAACTCAGAATCTTTAAATTACATCCATCCCGTTGTGTAGGGGTGATGTGCATGTGTCCTTATCTTCCTCGGCCATTCTAGAGCTCTCGGGGCGCCCCGAGCGTCCGAGCGTGACGGCCCAGCCCCGAATCACTCCTCAAGTCTTGAACCATTATACCACCCAGATCTTCACTGATCATGGCAGGCTAACATACACCTCTGGCAGTGGGTCTCAAATCATATTCATCTGCTCCACGCCCTGCGACGGGATCTCTTCGTGTGGAGTGTTCCGCCGAACAATGCCAGCGATGGGACACCATCTGCTCGGCGGCATCTAATGCCTTCGGGGCTAATGTTTTCGGCGCCGCCTCGTGTCCAGGATTCCCCAGATCTTCCCCCGCATTCTCCAGATCATGCTTAGTCTGCTCGGGGAGTGGACATAGACTGGGAGTTTATAAAGCCCTCCAGAGCACGCTGCGATGCAGCCGCTTGTTATTCAAGCAGGAGTGTCTAGCAGCATGGCCGACAAGAAGATCGCCGTCGACTGCATCGAGCATGCCGACCAGGTTCTGGTGGACGAGGCCGGTCGCATTAAGCGTCTCCCGGTACCAAGTGACGATCCCAATGACCCCTTGAACTTTGCGCTGTGGGAGAAGACAGGCATCGTAGTGTGCTGCTGTTGGTTCTGTGAGTCTTTCTTTCTTCCATTACGACCGTCAAGCTCATTTCCCCAGCTATCATGTCACTCTCCGTCATTGGAGGTCTGGGCTCAGTCCTGGATGTATTCTTTCAGATGTATGGCGCAGAAGGTCACAGCACCAACCAGGTTGTCTGGCTCTCCACTTTCCCTTCACTGTTTGTGGGAATTGGTAAGGTACCTTTCCCAGTTCTGTTACCACCAGCAACTTACCGACGTCAGGGAACTATATAATCCTGCCGCTAGCCCTTGTTTGTGGGCGTCGACCAGTGATGCTCATTGCCAACACCGTTCTGCTGGGCTCATTGATTGGTTGTGCCTTGTCGCAGAACTGGGCCCAGCATTTCGGGCTGCGTGTCTTATTAGGTTTCGCGACAGGAGCGACCGAATCGGTGTGGGCAGTCGTACTTATATTTTTGTTGCTGATCTAACCGACAATAGCTTCTCCCCTTGATGTTGGCAGAGGTGACCTTCATCCACCAGCGCGGCACGATTTACGGCATCTACTGGGCCACTCAAAACATCGTGACGAGTCTCCTGACGCTAGCTAGTTCGTACGAAGTGGCAGCTCTGGGCTGGCGCTGGTTTTACTGGGTGTTTGTTATAACCGTTGCCGTCGGACTCGTCCTCGTGGTGTTCGCCTGTTTTGAAACGCGGTTCCAACGTCGACCGATTTTCCTGGGCGATCACGCTGTCGTTACTGACCAATATGGAGTGACTCGAGTTCTAACAGTACCAGAAACCCAAGAATATCTTGCTAGTGATGAGGGTCATTTCTACGCCGACCTCGGTGGCGACACGCCTCCCAAGAAGACCTACCGCCAGATGCTCAACGCTTGGCCACGCCCCTGCCCTCACCCTGCACGCAACGTTCTGCTCACCTGGTGGCAGATGCTGGAGACCTTCAGCTCGCCCGGCATTATCTATGCCACACTTCTCTCCGCTGTCATTCTAGGCGGATCCGTCGGTGTCTCTCTTACCTATGACACGGTCTTGCAGTATAATTACGGCTGGAGCGCCGCCAGCATTGGCCTCATCAACCTAGGGGGTGTATTTGGCGGGCTGGGCGGCATGCTCTACGCGGGGATCTTGGGCGACCGTGTCATTGTCTGGTTGGCCCGGCGCGCCGGAGGTGTTCATAAGCCCGAACACCATCTTCTCTTATTGATCTTCCCCGGGCTTTTCGCAGTAGCCTCGTTGATCTTGTATGGGTTCACCGCTAGTGGCAATGCCACTTGGGCTGGGCCGTTCATGGGCTGGACACTCTACCAGGTAGCTTTTGTCTCGACACTCATCCGCACGACATCGTTTGCCACCGAGGCATGGGAGAAGAACCCGGGTCCGGCGTTGGTGACTGTCGTGGGGACGAAAAATATCATTGGATTTGGGGTCAGCTATGGCTTGAACCCGATGGTGGCTAAGTACAGTTATCCGGCCGCCATGGGGATTCTGGCGGGGGTGGTGGGTGGCATTCTGCTCTTGGGGATTCCGGTCTACTTCTTTAATCCGATGGTTAGTACTAGCCTCTTCCCATTGCTCATTCGAAAGTGTAGTCTTGCTGACTTGGATGCAGTGGAGAAGGTATATCAGTCAGCAACGGACTCGAGGCCAGGGGCAGCTTGGAGGGCCGTAGTGAGGGGGGTAAATGGTTTTATACATAAGTTTCAAATCGAGAGATGTGTTTCGTTCGCTAGTAATGTTCTTCTCGTTCGTATCCGCGGAATATGCAATGCCCGGGCGATATTATTCTTGATGTTCCCTCACGAAAATGTAATCTCGCATCTGACCCCAACCTCCATGGCCAGACAAACCGGGCGCTACAAAGACAGACCTCCTCTAAGGGCGCCCTACAGGACCGGCATGTTGATTACAGCGTTGGCAGTCGGAAAGTGGGGGACCTACGACTGCTCCTTCGGGGCATAACCGTGCACTTCGGAGGCGCCATCGGCTGTTCGGTGCTGCCCGAGACCCCCGATTTGCTATCATCCGAGCACAGACACTATGTCAATGTGCCTGGTTTTGCAGATAAGAAAACTATCCTCTCATAATTGTACACATGAGAGCTTCTGTATATGTTACAATTCTCAAGAATCACAATTCAATCCATCGACCCATCCACTCATGCACAATCGCCTTGGCCTCATCCACCAGTCCCAGATCTAGCAATAGCTGGGTAGTGCCGCGCACAGCGGAGTCCACAGCCGCGGCAATCCAGCCATGGGTATACGAGGTATGCTCGCCAATAAATATCGTCTGGAACTCGGTCTGGTAGTAGGCAGGCAGGAAAATCTCTTGCTGCCCAACGAGGGGGTGTGTCCATGCGCCGTTCTGATGTTCATCAGTTTCCCAGCAGTGAACATGGGAAATTCCTATAAAGACAATCAGCTTCAATTTGACTCAAGATACAAAATAGACCATCATACCTGTGAATTGCTCCTCTGCAATCTCTCCATGGATCTCCACCATGCTGCGCCGCGCCAGTGCCACATAGTCCTCAGGTTTCAATGCCTGTACACTCCGCGCCGGGCTTCCGACGGCATATGCCCCAAGAACCGCCGCGGGACCGGTGCCATTCAGATTGAATGATGGATAGCATACATATTGCACCCCGGGAATGTCCACCTCGCCGCAGCCCCCGAAGATGGGCTGTTCTTGGTGCTCCCAGAAGCGGGTTTCATACAGCAGAGCGAGCTTGCAGGAGGGTTCATAATTCGTCTCGGAGATGGCCCGGCTCAGAATCGACGAGTATCGCGGCAAATCCCACATGCGCACTTTGGTAAAGGGTGCAGCCACGACGGCATAGTCATATTCCTCGCTGCGCTCAGGGGTGATCTGGACCGGAGAGTCGCGCCAGGTGTAGGCAATCTTGCCCGAGCTTTCGTTGTACGAGAGCCCGGCCACCGCCCGCCCGAGGGTGGCTTTGTCTGTGACGTGCGGTAGAAATGCCCGTGCCAGTGATTCCACCCCCTGGTCGATGGTACGCCATTCGGTAGCTGCAAAGTAGACATCATCGTAAAATCCATCCCAAACTGGATTGTTGGACGTGCCAGCGGCGAGGTCAATGACATCCGCATTCTCCCCCAGCGCGTACCGCATATATGCGGCCTCCGACCAGTGGTAGAACCCATCTTCCAACGCCGCTTTGTGTGCGCGGTACATGTTGCGAGCAACCTCCCGGATCTTACTGATCTTGTCTGTCTGAGCGTACTCCATGTACCGAGCTTTGGCGTCCGCAACCGCACTGGCGTTGGCGGGGGGCGGCGTGTATGCCAGCGACGAGTTGGCGGCAACCTGGGCTACAGTGGGGATCCGGCCATCTGGCAGGCGAACACCGCCAGTGTCTGCCGGGACATTAGGATTATTCTGGATCCAGGGAATAAAGTTGACTCGCAGCTCTGGATTAGCATCGGCATTAAGCTCATTGAGAACATCGGCCAACTGGAGGACCAGCCGCATGTCCTGAATTTGGAGTGTCTCGTTGGTATCGGCGTAGGTGATGTTCATGGGAAAGCGCATAGGCCCCAACTCCTGGTATTGGTACTGATCGGGCCGCGAATTGTTCATATAATGGGTGCGAATGCGGCCACCCAACCGATGGGTGGACTCCACAATATGCCAATTGGTCATGCCGACAGAGTTGAGCAGCAGACTCGTCATGAGTCCGGAGATACCACCGCCGAGGATGGCCACGGAAGAGTTCTTGGCTGCCGACACCACGGCCTTGCCGGGTTCCTTGCCTTGCATGTACGCAACGCCGTCAAACCAAGGGCCCATCACATCAGACACATTGGCGATGCTTTCCCGACGAGCCAAGCGGGTAGCAATCGGAATGGGGTCAGAACGAGCGAGCAGGGTCGGTCCGGAAACAGCGTGGAGACAGTGGAGATGGGGCGCATCGGCCGGGGTGATCCAAACGAAGCGCTCCGGATGGGCGTCACGCGCGATGACAATGTTACCGATCTCATGATGCCCAAGGCCAGTGTGACAGTCGCCGTAGAGCACTTTGATGTGCCCTTCAAAGCTGTCGTCCAGAAAGTCCAAATGAACGTTGTGCAATGAGTCCGCGGTGACCAGGCTCGGTACCTGAAATTTCAGGATTTCTCGGTCAATCTGTCTTGGGGCATGGTGAGAAAGTGCCCCTGCTAGGCCGCTGTAGAGCAGACCCAAAGCAAGAGGTGTGTACCACTGGCTGTAGCGAGGCATGACGCGCCTGGATGTTGAGATGAGCACACACTGCCCCGAGGTCTGTAGTGATCAGGCGGGTTCTGCCCATGGATTTATACTGGCATCATTCCACATAACTGGGTACTGTAAATATCACTGCCGATTGATTATGTCAGTAGGCAGCTCAAATCTTTCGTTATCCTGCGTCGTGCCAACAGTTGAAGATGTCAATAATTGAGGGCCTGCATAAAGTAGAGGTGTACCAGGTGTCGTTCATTGCCAGGTGTATTTCATACGCCGCCGTTCGAATGGATATCTACTATTTCCAAGGCCTAATCGGGAAGCGCAGCGTCGATCTGGTCTCAATAATTGCTGCTCGGGAAGTTGCGCCAAAAGCCAATCATCGACAGCCACATTGTGTCTGATGCAGATTGGTCGATGAATTTAATCTGAGCTGGAACGAATTGCCTTTAACGACACTTCCTAGGCAGTGTTTATTCTTATCGAAGGAGGTTCATTGCATGAGTCAGGAATTACCTATAGTAGAAACTCAATGAGGTAGCCAAGTAATGAACTTCCGTACCCGAAAAGGATACAGTCAAATTAATTGCCGTTCTTATTGCTGATAGAGCCCTCTATGTAAGACGCTAACTGAGCAGGTGCTTCACCGTCTGAAATAGAACATGGCCCCAACGCCTTTAAATTTTGCGATCCCGCAAAACTCACATACTTTTCCAACACGAGCTACGAAGTAGTTAGGTCATCGCTGCATATACCAGGTCAAGCACATACAGTACTCAAGTTCGGCGAGAGACCAGTCCAGCAGGGTGGATATATCATATTTACGTATCAACTGACCAGTCTACGGAGCCACGATGGCCCGAACCACATCCCGCAAGTCCCCTTCTATGCTGGTGACCAGCTGCGCAGCAGCCAACTCCCCAGGAACCTGCACAGCGTCGCCCAAGCCTGCGCGCACCAGTCGTACACGTCCATCGCCCTGTTCGACTAGCTCCTCATTATCCCACCGCAGCACCCCTGGTGTGGAGAGGCCGACTCCCAGCTCAAGAATGACTACGTTTCGTGTCATATCCGTGAGGAAGGCCTCACAGAACTGGTGCCATCGCGTTTCGCTGGGAGCGAAGGGTCGCTCGTTGAACCAGTTTCCTGCCCGAACACATATCGAATAGCGCCACCACAGAAGGGGCATGTCGGAATCTTGTCCTGCGCAGTTACGGCCTGGGTGTGTGGATCCAGATGCGGCAGGACAGCGTCAAGGTAGGGGGCAGATGGGAAGACGGCATCCGGACGGCAATTTTCTAGACATTGCAAGAAGGCATACTGGCCCTGGGGGGTGGAGAGTTGCGCTTCAGGCAATCCATGGGCTACAAACAGTCCATCTGCATTGGAGATGCGTACGTGAACCCGATCGGGTGAGAAACGCGATGCCAGCCATTCTAACAGGGAGGTATAGAGGAAGGAGCGGGGCCAGCGACGCACCATGGCTAGATGGGAGAAGTAGAATCCCCACCGGACGCTCTCGGATGGCCAATCGCGGTTGGTACGGCCAAAGGTGTCATAGAGCCGTCGCAGCTGGTATTGCTTGAATGACGGGAAATGACGATCGAACAGAGTGGTCGAGGTATAGTCGAGTCCGGTGGCTGCCGAGATGCCGGCTCCGTAGCTGATAACAATGGTATCGGCAGCAGCCAGCCAAGCTTTGGCTTGGTCAAGAGAAGATCCACGGACCTGGGGAGGTGGCACGAGGGAGGGAGCTGGATAGTGCAGTTCCTTGAGTGTCTGTTGGTAGACGGCCGTGTCGGTGTCGGTGAAAGTGTTGAAGACGATGTTGGTGATGGAGGTGTGCTGACGACGCCGCAGCCAATTCAATTCAATTCAATTCATATTCTTATACCCGATCGAGCCGGCGTAGTGAGATGCTAGCTATGCAGGTGCTTCACCGTTTGAAGCAAAGAATATGGCCCCGAACGCCCTCAATGCCCTCAAACTCGCAGTAAACACTCGTAAACACACGTAAACACACGTAAACACACAAAGAAACATGTAAGCAACATAAACACCGCTAGCCACGACGTAGGAAGGTCGTCGTCGTAGCTAAACACAACTAAACAACAAAAGCAGACGTAACTGTAAAAGAGTGTTGCAGCCGTAGCTGCCTGTAAGCCACCACCTTCGTTCTTCGTCCATTATCTCGCTCCTAACATGCCTGTTCCTTCTGCTCGTTTGACCTTCCCTGCTGACTCAAACAGGGCGTGTATTGTTCCTTTTACCCAGCGTCTTCGGCACCTATCCCCATGGCCCTGAGGCCTACGTGTTCCTGGCCGGGATCGGACTCTTCAGGGTCGAGTTCAACCTGGCTGAACTGCCCGAGCAGGCCTGTTTGCAGCATGAATTCGGCGACGTAGCGGATCGCCTGCGGGTCTGATATGAGTAAGTCATAGTCAGTCGAGTACCGATCTAACGGCAATAGATGCAGCCTCCTCCACGGGGAAAGCAAACAGTCCGGTCGAGATACCACAGAGAGCGATGGTCTTACCCTGAGGGTCCGATGCGGGCAGGGCTTCTGCGACGTCCAGGACGGCCTCGTAGCATTGCTGCAGCTGTTGTCGTTAGTGCGTGGTAGGCACAGGCTGTTCGGCATCCAGCTGAGGGCCCACGGTGTGAATCACATAGGGGGCAGGCAGGCAGTAGCCTTTGGTGACACGAGCCTGGCCGACAGGCAAAATGCGCTGACCTTGAGCCATCTGTTGGAAACATTCTTCGCGCAAGCGGGGACCTGCCCGGGTGTGGATGACATTATCCAGGCATCGATGAGCCGGCTGGAAACATCCCAGCATTTGCTCATTGGCCGGATTGGTGATGGCGGTGACTCCATCCAAGGTGGTAATGTCCCCTTGCCACAGGTGGAGTGTGGCAGGGAAAGGCTCTGATGGTGTCGATGATGATGGAGTTGGAAGGGCTGGAATGGAAGCAGCGTCAATAAGAAGGCGATTGGCACGCTCTGCCAGCAGAGCCTGATCGATCCCCTGGAGTAAGGAGGGTAAAAGAGGTTGTCGAGGACGTCTAACACAGAGCAGGTGTTTCATAAGACGGAGCTGGGCCCATGAGTCCATGGTTTCGATGGAGGCGATGTCATGCTGGTGATGGTGGTGATGGTGGCAGACACAAGATCTCTGGGGGGTGAAATAGTGTGAATCACCCAGCAAGGTCTGCAGGACTGATGGCAGTGTGCCAGCCATAACTGTAAGGAAAGTAAAATAGGTTTACTAACAGATGCATCGCGAGAGAAATTCCGATTGGAAATTCAGGAAGATGTCGGGAGTCTTTTTGTAGGTCTCTTTCCCACATCTATTCCCCTTGATATATTTCCATATTACTTTGTAGGGAGTGGGTTTATCTGGTTTGCTATGTTTGTCATGTTTGTCAAAATTTGTTTGTGGAATTTGGACTGTTTGTTTACACGGAACATATTTCACGTAACGGGAAGGTGATCTCCGCTAGCCTAATAGGGAATTCCGCAGTAATGGGACCCCCAAACATATGGTTAATAATCGGCATTGACGAAGCAACGATGGCTACATACAAGCCCTGTCTCCTCACTGCAGCATTTACACCCTCATCGGCATTCATCTCTTAACTCTCCATATTATAGCCTGATGGGATAATCGGAGACAGCATCTATTATCCCCGGATACGATAACTCCGGTATCCGATCTTATCTCCACCATTCATGTCGAGGGGACGACAGGATGACATTCAGCAATGATCATGATGACCCTACCGCAAGGAGACATCAGACAGGTTGTCATTCCTCTACATACTCAGGAGGCGATCCTCGTGTCCGCTGGGTCGTGCGACCTTGATGCACAAATTCCGTTTCTCCTTGTGAATAATGAAGGCCATCGTAATTTCGTCTATGTTTCAATCCCACATCGAAGAATATATACCATTTGAATCGAACAACCTCCTTCAGCCCTCAGCGCCCCACTTGAAACGAGCCAGGCCATAGATACATCCGGAACGTCAGCATACTGGAGCTTGGGGCCGAGATTTTCGGCTGTTTCAAACTTAAACCCGCATGCGGAATTACGACTGGTTACTAGTGACTAGTTAGCCTGCGGGGCCATGGCTGTCAGCAGTAGCATCGCCCCTGTCAAGCTCTCTCAAAGAAAGTCAAACAACCCTCAGCCCATGACGGCATCCAAGAGCATCTGGAATGTCAGAGCTCGTTCTCCATGGAGCCACGGGTGAGGATCGTCGGGGATGAGATTTCGCTCTGGGTTTCTCTCATAGGAGGGATCGGTTACACCACTGCATTAGTGTTGAGACCGAGTCATTACAACCCCTCATTGCTGCAGGTGGCCTAATATTCATTGAGTGCTTATATAAAGCCCGTCATCCATGTCTCTTTTGACCCTGACTATCAGTCCTCACAACCCTCTAATCTCACTCTCCTCGATTCAGTCGTTCTCATCATGTCTCAATCTATCCCCCAACATCCCGGACAGCGGGAGAACATCGAGACTCGCCTCTTCATTAACGGCGAGTTTGTCCCCTCCCTCTCCGGGTCCAAGTTCGACCTGTACAACCCGGCTACCGAGGAGCTCAGTGCCTCGGTCTATGAAGCCGGTCCCGAGGATGTTGACCGCGCCGTTGCGGCCGCCAAAGCTGCCTTCCCGGCCTGGTCGGAAACGGGAGCCCTGCAGCGAGCCCACTTGCTGGAGAAATGGGCCGATCGGTTGGAGGCATGCGCTGATGAGATCTCCTATCTTGATGCCATTTGCATGGGCAAGCCCGCTTACAGTGACCGTAAGCTCATCCCCTCGTCATCCCTATTGTACAGACATGCCTAACTCTTTACCAAAATCCAGACTTCGGTCGTTTCATGGCCCAGTTCGTGCGGGTATATGCCGCTAAGGCCCTAGATATCACCGGCGAATCCTCCCTGAACACCCCTGGCTTCGTTAATGTCAGCTTGCGCCAACCCTTTGGCGTGTGCGGTGCTATTGTCCCCTGGAACGGCCCCGTGGTGACCATGATCTTCAAGGCTGCCGCAGCCCTGGTCACCGGCAACACCATCGTCATCAAGTCTTCCGAAAAGGCCCCTCTGAGTTGCCTGGTGGCTGCTCGCTGTGCCCAGGAAGCCGGCTTTCCTCCGGGTGTCTTCAATATGCTCAGCGGATTCGGTCGCCCCTGTGGTGAGGCCATCGCCCGTCACATGGAGATCCGCAAGATCTCCTTCACCGGCTCGACTGCCACGGGTCGCGCCATCCAGAAGATGGCCGCCGAATCGAACCTCAAGAGCGTCACGCTCGAGCTGGGTGGCAAGTCCCCGCTAGTGATCTGGGACGATGCCGATCTGAGCAAAGCCGTGCCGGCTGCCGCCATGTCCATCCTCACCAACTCCGGCCAGGTCTGCGTTGCCAGCTCGCGGGTCTATGTACACGAGGCCATTGCCTCTCAGTTCCTTGAGCAGCTCAAGACCACCATGACGGAGATGGGCAAGAGTGGTCACCCGCTCATTCCGGGCACCACGCGCGGCCCGCAGGCCGATGCTGCCCAATTTGCGCGCGTGCAGGGCTATCTGGATCTGGCGAAGCAGGAGGGTATCTCGGTGCACTTGGGTGGTGCGCGCGAGGGCGACAAAGGTTACTTTGTGCAGCCAACCATCCTGAAGGATGTGCCAGAGGAGTCGCGTCTGATGAAGGAGGAGATCTTTGGTCCCGTGGTGGCCGTCAACACCTTCACCGACGAGGAAGACGTTATGGCGCGCGCTAACGACTCCGAGTACGGGCTGTACGCTAGTGTTTACACACGGGATATCTCGCGAGCGCTGCGAGCGGCCAAGAAGTTCGAGGCGGGCACCGTGGGGGTCAACTGCACCAGTCCGACCATGGCGTTTGACATGCCATTTGGGGGCTGGAAGGGCAGTGGAGAGGGACGAGAGCTGAGTCGGTATGCCACAGACTACTGGACCGAGCTGAAGTCGGTGTTGATTGCGTTGTAATTCATGATATTTAGGTTGTAACTATAGTACTGTTTACTGCAGATAGGATGCTCTCTACTCGTTTACAAAATAGTCATCTGAGTGCTTGAATATAGTCATCATTAATCATATCGTCTCATATCCGTACATCAAGGAAAGTCTCATAAATCATCATCACAAAAAACGCCAAAGAAAAAGTAGACATGTAGACATTAGAAAAACAAGGAGTGTCATCGTCGTCATCGTCATCATCATCATATCAGCCACCACGCATCATCTCCATCAAAGGTATGAATTTTTTTTTTTACAGGTGATCCGGTGCCGGCACCTCAGCCAGCGACTTCACCACCGCGCGCAACGACGGATTCAGCTCCTCCGCCGCCGTCTCCAACTCGCTCAGCGTGTTCATGGCCTCGCGGCCCAGCTGCCGGATCAGGTCGTAGGTGGCCTGCAGGGCCCCCGTCTGCTGCACCAGAGACACGATCTGCCGCTTGCTCTCAATGGGCAGTACCGTGCCGGCCGGCTTCTGGCGGAAGATGCCAAAGATAACCGCCCGACCAGCAGGGTCCAAGTTGCAGGCCCGGACGATGGGGTACGTCACCTTGGCCTGGTCCAGGTCCTCGCCAAACGACCGGTCGCTAGCGGCGGACTCCAGCAGACCCAGATACTCGTGGCGGATCTGCGACAGGCGACCCAGCACCTTGGTGAAGGGCTCCAGGTCCAGGGTAGCGCCGCCCATGCTGGCAGCCTGCATGAGGCGCGTCAGCAGACGGAAGCTGGCGCCGGCCTTCTGGTCCACCATGGCCAGATACTCGGTCTCGCCGGGGCAGTGGGTCGAAAAGCGCCAGTTCAGCTCCCACGACTGGCCGACAAAATGTGCCTCCAGTTCCTGCAGCAGGCCATCCAGCATGCCGGGGCAGTTGAGGCTGGTGACGATGCGGGCGGCGCGCACAAACAAGTACGCCGCACTATTCATGCACTGCGCGGGTCCGTACACCAGGTGGGCCGGGGTGCGCTGGTCGCGCAGGGCGGCCTGGTCCTGCACGTCGGCCAGCATGCCGGTCGAATCCTGCAGCTCGGTAATAACCTGGCGAATGAAGGCCAACGGGCGGGCGGGAACCTGCAGCCAGGCATTCAGGGAAGTGAGCAGGTCGCTGTGCAGGGTGTTGCGGGAAATAGAGCGGGCGTAGCTGGATGGGGCCAGCAAGGCGGAGGTATCCAGATGCACGTCGGGGGTTTCCTCCTCGGTGACCAGGGGAGTCCAGACAGCCACCTCCACGGCTTCTTCACTCTCTTCGGGTTCCGGCACCACCTCAACGGGCGCAGCCTTTTCTTCCTCTTCTTCTTCCTCGTCGTCTTCGGTGTCTTCGTCAGAGGAAGATTCTTCCTCATCGGAGCCATCTTCCTCGGATGACGACTCCTCCTCTTCACTCTCCTCGGCAGTTTCGGGGACTGCGTAGCGCGGAGCATTCTTGCACCAGTAGTGGATACCAGCCAGGGAGGCGCCCAGCACCTCCATCCATTTGCGCAGCTGAGGTGCCAGGTCCGAGTTGGCCTGGTAGAGTGCCTCGCGACGGCGGACAAACTCGTGCTCGTTGTCGATAATCAGCTGCTTCGCCTTGGCGACGGCGTCTTCCTCAGACATGTTCTGGTGTTCCATGAGGAAGAGAATCACGTTGGCAACGGGGCGCTTCTTGGAGACGCGCTTTTCCTTGGGCCAGCTGTAGTAGTCGTTGGTGAAGAACATGGTGCGCTCGGCGGCATCCAAAGCGTCGCGCACCACCGCTTGGTCTTCTTTTCCGAGACGGGTGCCATGCGCGAAGCCCATGAGGGTCCAGTAGACGCTGACATCCACGTTAGCATCTCATGATTCAAGCACACGATTGAAAAAGGTGACTTACTCAATGCCCGCATTGAGGCGTCTCCGGGCGACATAGTCGTCGAGGTTGGCGCAGTTCTCGGCCGTGGGGACCTCCGGGGTGACCAGCCAGTTACTGCGGTAGCAGTCGATGATCTCGTGGCCATCCTTGTCCTTGTCCGACAGCTCCGACATGGCCTTTTCTAGTAGTTGTTTCCGGGCGGCGACGCGGGGGGACTCGGCGGATTCATCGGTTTTCTTGCCTTGTTGTTTGCCTAAGACGTCAGAGGTGGGTTCGGCCATGCTAGTAGATGGCAATGGGGGTTTCACATACCATCATGCAGATTGCCGAGTTCAGTCAGGTACGCGACAGTCTCGAGACGTTCGGGCAGACA